TATTGGGGAAGTTAATATAAGAAGGAATCTACCTTTTAGGTTTTTTAACTTTTAGACAAACCACAGAGACTTCCTTTCAATTGTATCAAATGGATGGCAGTTGGATGTACAAGGCACTAAAATGTTCAGAGTTATACAGAAGCTTAAAGCACTGAAGGGACCACTTAAACAGCTTAACAAGAAGGAATATAGTGACATCTCCTCCAGAGTTCAAGCTTGTAGAGAAGACCTCTATGCATGTCAATCCAGCCTTGATTTAACCTCTATTGATGATCAACTAAAAGGCAGAGAGAAACAACTGGTTGACAAATTCTCTGAGCTTTGTTTAGCTAAAGAGTTATTCTATAAACAGAAGGCACAAATTCTATGGTTGAAAGAAGGTGGCCATAATACTTCCTATTTCATGAAGAACTTCTCCACAAAATGTAACAGAAGGAAAGTGGAATCAGTCTTAAATTGTGAAATTGTGAGGGAATTCAACTTTATGGGAAGGATCTACAGCAAGAATTTCTCAACCACTTTCAAAACTCAATTGGTCAGCCTTACCAACACTACTCAGGTACGGCATCCTTTTCACACCTCATTACCAAAACTGTTCCAGCAAATTTCATTCCCTTATTATCAGCAATTCCCTCTGACAGTGAAATTAGACATTGCATGTTCTCCTTTCACCCCTTTAAAAGTCCTAGACCAGATAGCTTTAATTCAAGCTTTTTCACCCATTCTTGGCCTATCATTGGTCAAGAAGTCACAGCTGCCATCAAAGACTTTTTTTTTTATTTCTGGGAAACTGCTAACTGAAATCAACTGCTCATACATTGCCTTAGTGCCCAAAACTCCCAACCTACAACAGTTCATAATTTCAGACCAATATCATGCTGCAATTTGATTTATAAATGCATATCCAAACTGATTGCTTTGAAGATTAACTCAGTCCTACCTACCTTAATCAGTCCTTCTCAAAATGCATTTGTGAAAAGTAGGCATATCTCTGAAAATGTGATTTTAGCCCATGAGTTTTTAATGGCCATCATAAGTCATCACACCCTCCTAGATATGCACTAAAGGTGGATCTTAGGAAAATATTTGATAATATTCATTGGTAGTTCATAATTGATACCCTTAACCTCATGGGGTTTCCTGCTTGTTTAGTCAACTGGATTTCTCAGTGCCTCACCACTCCATCTTACTCTATTTCCTTAAATGGTGAACTTTTTGGATACTTTGATGGTCAAAGAGGGATTAGGCAAGGTGACCCTATTTCCCCTTTATTATTTGTCATTGCAATGGAGGTTCTCACCCTTTCCATAAATTTCACTAGAGGTGCAGCAAGCTGGCTTTATCCCACTTAACCTTTGCAAATGATTTACTGTTATTTTCTCATGGAAGTTTGTCTTCAGTTCAAACTTTGTTCCTGGCCCTGAATCAATTTCTGGATCTCTCTGGCTTAAGTATAAACCTGTCCAAAAGTCTTGTATTCTTGTCTGGAGTTGATCACCAAACCAAAACTGACATCCTTGCCCTCCTTCAATTTAATACTGGATCACTACCTGTCACTTACATCCAAAACCCTTACCTCAACTGATTGCACAACCTCAGTTGAAAGAATCACAGCAAAAATAAGGAGATGGACTTCAAAATTTCTTTCCTTTGCTGGTAGATCTGTCCTTATCAAATCCATTCTTTGTTCTATGCAAAGTTATTGGGCACAAACTTTTGTCCTACCCAAGTAAGTCATTGAAGAAGTTAACAGAATTTTGAAGAGGTTCCTTTGGTCAAGTCCTGAATTGAAGTCATCATGTGCTAAAGTTGCATGGGATATGGTATGTATGCCACGGATCAATGGTGGCTTAGGCTTTCCAAACTTGGAAATGACTAACTTAATTACAAATTTGAAGCATATATAGAAGTTATTTGCTAAGAGGAACAAAAGCCTTTGGGTTGCATGGACTCATAGATATTTAATCAAAGCTAGAAGCTTCTAGACAGTTAAGCCAATAGCTTTGAGCTCTGGTTTTTGGAGGAGGTTGTTAAAGCTGAGAGACATGGCAAGGGGTCTGTTGAAGCACAAGATAGGGAAGGGTACTGACACTATGATGTGGTTGGACTATTGCTTCCAAATGGTCCTATACTTAACCAAATCAACCTCAATGATGGGGAAATTCTTCAAGTGGACTTAAGAGTCAAAGTTGATAGACTAATTTCCTTAAATCATTGGGAAGTCCTTAACTCACTTGCTCAATCCCATTCTTTCAATCACATAATTTCCAATCTCAGCTAAAATGAGCTGCCAAACCCTTCCACTGAAATAGATTCAGTAATATGGCTACCTTCTCCCAACTTCACATTCTCCTTTGCTCATACAATCAACTACCTCCTTCCTCCTACCTTCAATTTTCCATGGTACTAGACCATATTGTTTAAGCATCATATCCCCAAACATAGTTTCATCACCTGGTTAGCCATTAAAGGAAGACTATACACTTTGGATAGAAAACCAACGAGGCACAAACATCATATCAATACTTGTTATCTTTGTTTTGCCAACTGTTAATCATTGTATCACTTATTTTTCCAATGTCAATACTCAAAGATAATTTGGTCATTCATTCAACACTCAATTGGGCTTTACATCCAACCTACTTCTTGGAGAGATTTGATCATTTGGTGCTCTTCACATTGGAATTCTAGGGGATTCTTGGTCCACAAATTATTGCTTTTTGCTGCTGTCCATTTCCTTTAGATGGAGAGTTATAATAGAGCTTTCAGAAACTCATCCTCATCCTCATCCCCAAACACTATCATCTGTTAGATTAAGAAAACGATCAGAGGGAGATTGGCTTCAATTAAGCTGAAGAAAGCAGCTGACTTGAGTAATCTTAACCGGATTGAAGACTTGCAGAAACTCTTCATGGGCGGTTATAGTTTGGCCTATGCCCAGGCTTTTACCACTAATTAGTTGTTACTGTTTTAAGTTGGAGATTTGTTGAGATAGCATATGCTTAGCTTATGTGGATAGTATGATTTGGTTTGGTGTGCATGTTAGCTTTGGTTTTGCTTGTTAGCTTTGATTTTGCTTTTGTATGTTGTTTGTATTTCTCTTGCCAAGCTTTAGCTTGTTAGCTTTAGTTTTCTTCTGTATGTTGCAACTTGGTGTCCCCAGACTTTGGTGTTGATTTGTACATTCTTTTATCTTATAAAAGCTTACCTTTAACTAAAAATAAAATAAAAATAAAAAAAGGTGCAGAAATCACTCTAATGACTAATGTATATAGCACTTTCATATCCTATTTGAAAAAATGTGCTTAAAACACTTATGTTCTTTTAAAATTGTGTAAAAATACCCCTCAATCATAAATCTGACATAAAGTAATGTTGTAATACACATTTTACTCTTCTGTTCTTCCAAAAATGCCTAAAAGGGTGTATGCGCGCTAATAGTTTCATAATATAGGGATGTTATGTGCACATTAACTATATTTAACCCACTTTTAATTATTTTCTCTCACCTTTCCAAAAAAAAAATTCTTTCTATATATTTACGCTAACAGTGTATTATCTCTCTTTAAAAAAAAAAAAAAAGTGTCACAATTGTCAGATTAATGTACTATATCATATGAAATGAAAATTGCAATTCCTTTTATAATTATAAACAAGAAAAAAATATATTCCGAATTAAATCTTAATATAGTTGTCAGTTTTCATTAAATATATAACTAAGAAATTAAATTAAAGATACTTATTCATTATATATAAAAATATACATTTAATTTTTTAAACTTTAGAATTTGCTATAATTTTACATACACACACACATATATATATATAATACTTTACATAACAACAAATAGATATTCACTCTTTATTGAAATAAATAAAAATAATAAATGGGTATCCAATCACTTACCGTTATCATAACATTCAAATCACGTTCTCAATTAAATTAACCTTTAAGATCAAAAGATTCAAAATAAGTTTATAAAGTGCAGAAATACCCCTATAATATGCTTACAGTGCGTATCACACCTCTCAAGTACTAAATGACCATTTTTGTCATTTCATAAAATGATGTATTTTTAAATAATATGTAATATGTGTATATAAGGTAATCTAGTCAAACTATAACATAAACTTATCAGGAGGGACTTATTTACTCTAAATTGAAATTTTAAGGGTGTTTTATGTACATAAAGGTGTGATAAATACTGTAAACATATTATAAGAGTGTTTTCAGCACTGGACTCTAAAATTTATTACAACATGAATAATTAACGGGATACACATCATGCAATTTTCTCATATTCAAAGGTCTTTAAGACTATTAGAGATATTTTATCTTAAACCCTCCACATTTTACAATTAGACTCCAATCTTTAAATTTTTAAAACAAATCAATAATTTTATGGATCACATATTCATAAATTACAATCATCTAACACACAAAAGTCTTCAAAGGAATAACAAACTTTCCCAAACTATGGGTTAAATTACAACTTCCCAACTAACAGAATGACCTCTACTTTTATTCGCTAAATAGTTTATTATCCTCGGTAATAACTGCTATAGAGCACATGGCAATAAAATTTATCGGCAAAAGACTATTTTTTAATTTATTTTTTCAAATGTTGAACAAACGCATACTACAAACTTACAAAATTCAAACTTTTTTTATTAATAAATTAAAAAGAATTCAAATTTATTATTTATTGTTATTATTATTATTATTATTATTATTTTGGATTTAGAGAAATAATATATATATATATATATATATATATATATATATATATATTATTTCTTCATTTTCTACAAGCTCATCACCTCCACACAAAATCAAAAGAGAAGATGCTTTGTTTTGATATTTCCCAACCCAAAAAAAAAAAAAAAAAAAACTAGACGGAGTCGTTTTATGAACATATCAATAAGAACGATGCCGTACCATAAGAAAGCCTTTGATATATATGTATTTATTTAAGTTAAAAATTATTAGCTGTCACTACGAGAGCTGAGGAGAGGTTAGCTGTCGTTACGAGGGTAAAAGAAGTGCTACGTTATGGAGAAAAAAATAATAAATATTTTACAATTTTATCTTTATCTCTGTCGTCTATCTCATCTCTAATTCGGTGAAGAGGGATCTGAAGATAATAAAAAAATGCTACTATTGATACTTAGTAGTGACAGTTTGGGTTTAATTGGAATTGAGAGAATTAGGGTTTTAGTTTTACACTAGTGGATGAGTTGTAAACGAGGATAGTGTATTCGTCGGGATAAATTGTGAATTTTTTCCTGTACTTGAAGAGCAAGATTAATACGTATTGTTTTGATTTGAGAGAAGAAGTAGAGTTCGAATCGATACAAACTACAGCATAACCGATTAGAGCAGAATTTTCAATAAAGCGTGTTGAGCACAAGGTGAACAACTAGGTTTTTATTTTTTTATTTTATTTATAATCGATAATGATGAATATATTGATAAATTTACAAATTTTCTTGCTTTAGAAATTTATTATTATTCAGGTGATTTGCTTTATGCTTTAGGTTTTTCAAAAACGTGTAATTTTTCTGAAATTTCATTATTTATTTCTCTTCACTTGCAAATTTCTTTATTTATCTCTGTTCACTAGTAATCTCTCTTTTCGTTAATTTGTTTTTTTAAAATCTATCTGGGGTTAGGGTTTTTATATTTGCATAATTGGGGTTTTTGTATTGCATAATTGGTGGAAGACTATCTATAAATTCAGGTAGTTGCCACTATTTAAACAAAAAGAGTTACCATTAATTCTGTAAAGTAATTACAATCCTTTTTCTCTCTCGTTTTTCTATTTAATGTCGTCAATTTCAATTCATTACTTCATTAATTTTGTTGTTGAACTCCCAATATAACTCGATTAGAGCATGCTTCCTGAAATAGGGTCATCATAAAGAATAAGTCATTAGTCAAGTGAAAACTTCAATTTAGGCATCTAAACTTTCCTTAAAAGTGGTGTTATATTTTTAGTAATGGCAACGTCTCAATTTTCTTTAACTTCTACAAGTCTTGTGGGGCTTCCATTTTTTTTTTTTTTATTTATTATTATTTTTTTTTGTAGATTGTAGTTTGTAACAAATTAAGTATCAGTTAACTACAACACTTAACTGGTTAAGTTACATCAAGAATTTGATCATTTTACATAAGTCCTTAGCAAACTAGTAATTAAAAAATAAAATAAAAACATGTCTTCACTATCCATATTTATGGTGATTTGCAGGGAAATGGCTGCAAAACCAGTTGAGCCTCCAAATGGGGTTAGGGTTCCGGGGAAGCATCACTATTCCATGTGGCAAACCATCTTTGAGATTGATACCAAATATGTGCCAATCAGGGCCATTGGTAGAGGGGCCTATGGAGTTGTGTGTTCTTCTCATAACAGGGAAACCAATGAGAAGGTTGCAATTAAAAAGATACACAATGCCTTCGAAAATTGTATTGATGCCCTGAGAACTTTGCGCGAAATGAAGCTTCTGCGCCATCTTCACCATGAAAATATTATTGGTTTGAAAGATGTCATGATGCCTAATGATAGGAGAAGATTCAAAGATGTCTACTTGGTCTACGAACTCATGGATACAGATTTTCATCAGATTATTAAGTCCTCACAACTACTTTCAAATGAACATAGCCAATATTTCCTCTTCCAGGTATGTGAAAACAAAATAGTGGCATTGAATTAATTATTTTTTAATATAATTTTGATGGTCGAGTTTTAAAAAGTGATTATGCATTAGTTTGCAATCTTAGTTCTATGAAGCTTCTGCAGTATTGCGAAAACGGATCAAAAGTTTTGAAGTTATGTCTGGTAGTATGAATTTTTTATTTATTTTTTATTTTTTGTAGAAAGGTATCTCATTCACATTGTTGTGTTGGTGATGAAATGCTGAAGTAGAGTATATCAATCCCATCTTGCTTATAATATAGCATATATTTATGTGATATAACGGTTTCTTTAGATGTAGTATTTTGATGTAGAAACTTAATTGCCCGCATCATCTTGATAATTATTGGTATTCTTTATTTGTATGGTTTTGTAATGATAGAACATTTTTTCAGACTTCACAATGAAAACTTTGGTATCCTATCAGGGATATGACATGAATTGCATTATGTGGTATTCTTTTCAATTACTGCGTTTGCCATCCTGTCAGGGAATTTGGATGTTGATCTCATGGAAGTGACTCCTTTTGTATTGTACATATTGTTTTCATTTTGTTTCTTAAAGGTGATTGATTTGAAGACCGCATACCATGTTATTTTCTTGTCTATTTTTTTTTTTTTTTTGGTTGTGAAAGTAATCCAGTATCTACATTGTAGTTGCTTCGAGGGTTGAAGTACCTCCACTCGGCAAACATTCTTCACCGGGACTTGAAGCCTGGGAATCTGCTCATCAATGCAAATTGCGACCTCAAAATTTGTGATTTTGGGCTCGCACGTGCCAGCACCATGGAGAAGGACAAGTTCATGACCGAGTATGTGGTCACTCGCTGGTATCGGGCGCCAGAAATCCTTCTCTGCTGTGACAACTATGGGACCTCCATTGACGTATGGTCAGTTGGATGCATCTTTGCTGAGCTTCTTGGCCGGAAACCGCTCTTCCCCGGTACAGAGTGTCTCAATCAGCTCACGCTGATTGTTAACATCCTTGGCACCCAGAGCGAAGAAGATCTAGAATTCATTGATTCTACAAAGGCAAGGAATTTCATTACAAAAATGCCATATACTTCCGGAACTCCCTTTGTTCATCTGTTCCCGAAAGCCCATCCTCTAGCAATTGATTTGCTAGAGAAGATGCTCGTGTTTAATCCGGAAAAGAGGATTAGTGTCAATGAAGCACTCCAACACCCATACATGAATGCACTATACGATCCGGGGAGCGAGCCTACAGCCCAGGTTCCAATTGATCTCGACGTAGATGAGGATTTAAAGGAAGAGACGATAAGAGAGATGATGTTGATGGAAATGCTTCATTACCATCCTGAAGGTGCTGCAGCCAATTTGGAGGTAAGCTCTTAACTTTTCCCCTCTCGGTTTTTGGGAGTCCACGGTTGGTGGTTGTGGGTATTTTGAGAGAGAGATCAGTTTATGTTTTTATTGTTAGTTCCAATAATCTTGAGGAGTAATGCATTAGCAGTTTGTGCTGTTAAAGCATAATGTTACTGATGTTCTCTTATGAGAGCTCTTTTATGAAGTTGTGTATCAGTAGGTGAGGTGGCCTCTTAAAAGTTGTATATAGGTGTGCTGCAGGAACTTTTTTGTACATTAACATTAGGTTTATGTATCATACTGTTATGAATGTTTGTGTTTGTATGAATCTCTCTCTTTGTATCTCTTTCCTTATTGGAGTATTGGACATACATATACTCACATGCATATGTTTATTATAACTCCATGCATATATTTGGATGCATATGCTCATGTGAATAATGGATTATGCATTTCAGAGAAAAAAAAAAAAAAAAAAAAAAAAAAAAAATGGGTCTCAAAACAGCCCTGAAACTTTGGAGACACAAGCTAAGCGCCATTGTTAGGTTATGTTTGGATGCCAAATTAAGATGAAACAATTTCATTTTATTTTAGCCATTTTGAGGACAAACAATTCCTTGGGGGCCATGCCCAAGGGTAAAAGCTCTAGTTGCACGGTGTCCGTTGTCGGGCAAAGGAAGGGAAATAATTTTATATATATTAATAGTAATGCAAAATACATGATACCTATCTTAATAATTGCAATGCAGAATGAGGCAAATTTAGGATGGAAGGTGCTGATTTTGTAGGTTTTGTGTTTTTAATGGTGCAGTGAGATTGTTTACCAATGTTGATGTTAGCAGGATGACAGGTTAGGTTAAGACATTTCATTTCTTGAAGTAATCTTTTCTTTTATGCATATTGAAAAATGATACTTCCATAGCACATTAAAGCATAAGTTTTTAGAGACAAAATTATCCTTAATCAAGTTAAATTAGCCTGATTTCACATAGAAAGTAACAGTATGTACATAACTTGAAAGTAGCAGAGAAAGTAGGTTTTCACCTACCGTAATTGTAGGTTTTCTTTTAGGGTCCATTTGGTTAAACGAAAAATTACCATGGAAAGTGAAAGAAAGGAAAATGAAATCAAGTTTCCATTATGCATTTGATTAGCAAAAAAAAATTTCAAAAAAGTTGTGAGAAAATACTATTTTGTGAGTTTGGAAGTGAAAAGAAAGTGATTGCAGTTACCAAAACTCCCCTTTTAGTTATAAAATTATTTTGTACTCTGAGACATTGCTCTATTTTCTGAATTATGAACAAAATTAAAATTTTAAGTTCAAAATGAAACAATGAATCTAATATTTAATAATTTTATATATGTGATTATGGATACAAGTTTAATTAATAAAAAATTTTGTTCCAAAAAATATTTAGGAAAAAAGATTGAAGTTAATATATATACTTTTAGTCATAAGAAAAAAAAAAAAAAAAAAAAAAAAATGTTGAGGCTAGCCTAAAAGAAATACAATGCAATGCTTCAACTAAATTAGTTTGATACATCTAATATATGAAGAATTAAAATTAAATTAGTTTGCTACATCTAATTACTTAGAGTCTTAAAGTCGAGAGAAGTTTATGTATAAAAAAATATATTTACAAATTAAATTGTAAATTGTTTGCGTAGAGACACTAATCCTAATTTATATATATATAAATAAATCTAAGTAGAGTGTTGGGTGAAAAATTAGAATTATATATCTATATATATATCACTCTAAATCATTATTAATTATGGAAAGAAAAAAATATTACAAAATTTTAATTTTTTATGCATGTATAAAGCTATATACAATCAAAATAGTATTACATTATTATATAAGCAATTTACAATAGAAGAGAACTGATCTATTAATGAAGTTTGTGGAGAAAGTGGCATGGGCAAAATAGGAAACTAAGATATGAAAATATTACTTTTTCGGGAAAGTAAAATTTTACTCTGTTTTTTTGTGAGAAACATTTTGAGAAAAATTAAGCGGTTACGAGAAAATTACTTTCTAAAAAATTTCTCTTTCATGCTTTCCAAACCCTTATAAATTTAAAAAATTTCTTTTCTTTTTTTTTCTTTTTATCTACTTCACGCTGATCAAACCAATCCTTAGATATTTTATACACAACTGTTACTTCGCATAGTAACAGTACGTGTATAAACTGTATCAGCCTGACATCACAGAGAAGTGGTGGTCGAAATTCTTACTGAGACGAAAGGGTATGTATAGACCAAATTCTTACCGAGTAAAGGGAATATGTAGAGAGAGAGAGAGAGAGAGGGGATATACTCAGTATATAAAGAGAGTGAAGTGATTCGTTTTTGGAGAGGAGGGCTGATATATTGTGAAACAATGAGGTTAGATTTGTCCTAACAGTTTTATGCTAATAACATGCTATTGAAACCACCAATAGCTTATTGACACAATGACACATACATCATCAGTCGTTTTAATAAATTGACACCTGCTCCTCCACTAACTACACCTACAAGGTTGTAGATAGGGACAGGGATGGTGCCCACTGCACAGTCCGATTTTGAGAAATTTTGGAACCAATTTGTTCCTACGGTTTTAGAAAATTTAAAATTAAATCAAATCATTTAAGTCATAAACCGAACTAGCCCAAATGGTTAAAAAAACGAGTAGATTCGGTTCCACTATTCTAATTAAATTTTATTTTCATATTTTCTTCCTCGAATTGTATATATAATAAAAATAACAGTAAAAATATTTAAATTCTCAAATCCAAAACTAAAATAGAGAGAGAAAAAGATAGGAAAAAGTGAATGAAATAGACTTAAAAGTTAAACTCTAAAAATTAAAATAAGGTTAAATCTTGCTGAAACTGAAAAGGGTGACAAATTCATGGTTGAAAATTAAGAAACTTAATTCGTTATTGTTGTTGGTTATGCTTGAGGCACACACACGCCGTGAGACTCAGAGATATATGAACTAAAAGTGAGAGAGAAGCTAGAGGAGGGATTATAATAAAGGATATCACCTACGGCAGCGATAAAAGATCGACAATGATGACTGAATTTAGAAGGTTGGGTGAGCAAACAAAAGAAAAAAGCGATAGTGGACAATTGTTGGCATGCACCTAAAAATAAAAACATTGAGAGAAACAAAAACAAATAAAAAAAAAAATATCAGATAGTGATAAATGTTGGCTCACGTTTGATTGTTATGTCGAAATCGCTTGCAATGTTAAGAGTAATATATATATGTATTATAAAAATTGGGTCTGGGCAGTCCGGTCCTTGTAGGACTCTAATTTGAAACCGAACTAAAAATTCACGATTCCATTATTTAAGAACTGTGACCGGACCGAACCGAACCGTTATGGAACAAGCCCAGACTGCCCAATTTGATTTGATCCGATTTGATTTTTCGGATTGACAGTTTTTTAACACACACCTAGCCCCATGGGGTTGCCCTACCAAGTCTCACCTCCGATTTTTGAGAACCGTTTAGCTTATTTGGATGGAGATAATTTTTACTAATAAAAATTCCCACGGGTTCAAAGGGGCGAGGGAGGTCATTCTGTCCCGCCCGTTTAAGTAGATAAATTATTAAATTATTATTATTATTTTATTGATATATATTGCCATTTAAAGTTTGTAATGTTGAATTTTATATTAAAATATTGATCATCCTTTCGTATGGACTTAGCTGTCCGCCACTACGTGTGTATAAGGAGCCTTCAATTTGTAAACCACCAACCATGGGCCGAGGGAAAAAATATCAGCCCAGTTGGCGGGCACTGATCAGGTTTTTGCTCCAACAAGAGCGGCCGAAGATTCTGGCCCACACCACTTTAACCTGGGACCCGATAAATGATTTGCTACCATTTGTAATAGTAGTGTATATGAATATTCAAAATTTAGAAAGGTAAATTAATAACTTTTTATGGAAACAAGACATGTCCCAAATATCATCTTAAAAATTCTTACTTTCCAAAAATGACATCTAAATTGAAATAAATAAAATACATAATAAGTATCTAAAGCCTAAAGGTATATTATGGGCAAATGGACCAGCGAAGGGTAGGTAAGCATTTCCAAGTCGAGGGCCTGTCGCTCTACTAGTGCGCCATTCCCAGTATGGAAAATGCTCCCTTTTTTTTTTTTTTTTTGGGATAAATCCAATATGGAAAATGTTGCAGGTCCCTCATGCTCGGTCTGTATCTAGTATCGGACCTGTTCAAATTTCAAATCTTAATGTATAAGAATATGTGCCCAAAAATTGGTTAGACGTAGAGACACCTACTACTCATTTACATATATTATGTGTTTTATTTCATTAATTGAAAACTCATGTGTTATTAAATTTGAAATCTTTTTTTTTTTTTTTTGGCACCTATTCTTTTTCTTATTCAACCATGTCATGTTAAGGCTCCGATTGACATGTTTTTTGTTTCTGCCGTTTTTATTTTTGGACTGTTACAGTTTTGATTTTGGTAACAAAAGTATGTTTGATGCGGCCTTATTCTATTTTATACAATGTTAAAACGTTTGGTGAAAAGTGGTCCAAAACTAGAATATCAAAAAATTATTTTTTCCTGTTCATGGCCCAAAATTATAACAGTAGCGCAATACGTGCTCGATAGTTTCACAGCAAAATATCGTTCTCAAACGTACTGCTTCCGATTTTTTTTTTAAATATTCCTACATCAAAAATATTATTTCTGTTTTAGTCAAAAATAAAACGTCTAAAATAAAGTGTATGCCAAATGGGTCATAAGCATTAATGTGACCGGTCAATTGCCCAATCAGATACGTATCTTGTACTCGTATTGTTAGAGAGCTTTCAACCATGCACCAACATTAGGGGTTACTCTTTTGATGGCCCACAAACTAGACTAGGTCGATCGACCATTAGAAAAAGGTTTTAAGATAAGGTGAGGCATGTATGGTGTGGTTCTAAGCTTTCAACCAAGAACCGATTATTTTTAGATGTATTTTCTCTTTATAAGATATTTAAAGTAGCTTCTTTTTTTTGGTCCCCGGGTGAGGAAACACTCAGTAGTTGTGAGTCTAGTGACTGTTTAATTCAATGAATGTGGGCATTAAATTTTAGGAAGATTTGGTCAGTAAGGTACTGCTAACAGCTTTCTTGATTATTTCAATTTAATTTCCCAATATTTAACTCGTGCATGGTAATTAAGATATATGAAATTACTCTATTATATATATATAATGTGCATGTATGCTGTATAATGTGGATGATAAATCAGTTCTGAACTTGATGAGAAGCTTCTAAGGCTAGCTTTTTGAAATGTGGTGTGATTGAGATGAATATATAATAAGATTT